TTTTTATATTCTGTTAGATTTTGATCTAAGTATTTCACTCTCTTTTATGTTTTTCTTTTTAATTTCACCATCTCGCTCCTCTGTGAAGTATTTACAACTGCTTATATGACCTGAAAAATTGACTATTCTTAGCACCCGATCAGTTTTTTGGCATGCAGCTTCTTTCATCTATCAATCAGTCTGTAAGCATTGGTTAAAAGTGTGTTGATTTACTTGAGTGTCACATYTCAGCCTCATTAGATCATTGGAACCTCCTGTTTTTGCACTGAACAACTGATGCTCTATTTTKGGGGGGTTTAAATCACAGACAACAGGCAGTCTCATGGTACAAAATGACCAAATACTACAAACAGTGATGGCAAATCCACTGACAGGAAGAGCCCCAAAATGATGATTTTTCTTTGTATTTCCAAGGCTGAAAAAATTCACATTCTTTCTTTACCTTGCTTCTGGGATAAAATGAATCAATTTGACTATTTATTTGAACTTAACATGAATTTTATACAATGATTTGTCTATATCTCTTGAACATGTTTCGAGCTGTAATTTCCTTTTATAGGATCAATAAACTATTCATTCATTCAAAAATATTATGTTTTCCTTATTGTTTGTTGATCTGTTGTTTTGTTTGACTAAATCATTGTTCTTGACTGTTTTAGTTAAATTTGATGATGTAACTAAATAATTCATAAATTAACTTTCCATGTTCTCTGTTTGTTAAAAAACACTAACTGTTCTTTTTTTCTCACAGACTGACTTTTTTACATATAATTTATACTCCGTATAATTGAAAAAATAGAGAAAATGGCTTCAGTTAAAACTTAGAGATAAAATAATAATTAGGTCTGTTTTTTTTTCTTTGTGTGTCTCACTTGTTTTGGTCTTATCAAACCTAAAATAAACAGGGAATACAAAGTCCTAAAATAATCCCATCAGAATGCTCTAAAGTAAAAAAAAAAAAAAGTCATGGCTACAGTTACTTCCTCATTAATCTGAATCAAACGATGACTCAACTTGTCAGTGTCTGGCTGAGGTAACCCAGATAAAAACACAGRCGGAAACTTTGTCTTTCCAAGTATAAATGAATCCAACCCTGCATCAGTCACAGACACCCCCTACACCCCCCTGACCCCTACACCCAGATTTCTCTCAGTGCTTGTCATTGATGAACAACAGCAACAATTTATGACGTGACCCATCGCACAGAGCGGAGATCTTAAAGCATTTAAGACCTGTTAGGTTTGCTATTTTGGATTTGGTTTGTTGTCTGGCTGGTATGTCACTTTGGAGAAGCTCCAGCTTCAGCACAAAGCCAATTGTTTCTTGGACACTTTAGATGACCTTCAGAGCAGCTGTATGCACCCTGGATGAACAGCTGCGAAATAACTACCCAGAAATAGTAAGGGTGCTCTGATGGGTCACTGAAACCGTACTGATATTATTTTATCAAGGTGATTTCTCACAAAACATTGCTCATCCTGTTGTGCCACCTGTAATGATTAAACACCAACTTCAGGGTTATCTTAAAGAATCTTAAAATAGGAGTTTGTGCTTGTATGTGTGCTTGGAATGAAATTCAATTTAAACTCAAATGTTCACATTAACAATGAACTGATTTTTGTTCTGTTAAATGTGATTTTTTTTCTCAAATTTTTCTTATTTTTTTAAATTTTGCTTAAATTTTAAGGTAAGTTTGGATGAAGTGTGATGGTTAACAGTGTCACCTTACCTTAAACTGAATAGAGAGAGACAAATTCTCCCCAACTGACACGATCCAGACTAAAAAAGGTAACCCAGGGCACAGACAACTCAAAGTACTAAAAAAAAGTTTAATAACAAAAAGAGGCTGATGTACGCGTGGTGTAGCTTAAGATTTCAAAACTTCACATTAGGACCCAACAGACTGACAAAACAGTACAATGATCAGACAAAGGACTGAAGACAGGACACCGAACATTAAGGTAAACTAATGAGGGCAAACTAGAAACACAAGGGCAATCAGGTGTGCAGAGGAACACAAGGGAACACTGAAACACTAGGATAAACAAAGCAAAATAAACTCAGACCATGACAGGACCCTCCCCTTAACGACGGCTCCTGATGTCGCCAAGAGGAGCTAGACGAAACTCAGGGAAACACGCGACAACATAGACTCAAAGACAAAAAACATAAAGCCCTGGGGGTCGAGAGACCCCTCCAGCTGTGACAAGAGTTCTGGGGGCCAACTAGGGAACCTTCCCAGATGAAACAAAAGTTCTGGGGGCCGACCAGGGAACCTGGGCATTTGCACATTTTAAGTGTGAGTTTTCTCCAGTTTGATGTCCTTCCACAGTCCAAAAACATGCATGTTGAGTTAAGTGAAAAATTCTAATTAACCTTAGGGGTAAGTGCATCCTTTCCAGTGTGTGCTCTTGCTTGCTGGTAAAAAAAAATAAAATAAAATAAAATAAAATAAAACCTCCCATTCGCTCAGGCATCCTCTGTTCATGAGTTAAAACATGCATTAAACATAACACTGTGAACCGTACTGAGAAGCCTGTGGTATTAGTTGAGATCTGAGATGTCAGTTTTCAGGTCCTCATTATAAGTTGGAAGCACCTGTGTTATCAAACAGCAACAGCTGAGGCAGCAGCTGAGTCACACCGCCCTCCTATGGTCACAGCTGTACCAGCTGAGCCTGAGCGTGGTTGTTGTTGTTGTTTTTTTCCCCTCATTGAAATCCAGAATAGTTTAAACCCAATGAGAATAAATTAAGAATTAAAAATAAAACAATTTTATTGAATATTTAGATGCAGACATTGCTTCTCACTCACTTAATTCTGCCAAACAAGACAGCCTTGGAAACAGGTTTGAAGTTGACCTCAGAAAATCTCTGTTTTCTGTGTAATTATCTGTTGGTCCTCTCCATGCCTACATTTTTTTTACTGTCATGAGTCGATAATAACAAGGAAAACGTTTATTTGATGGATGGATCGATGAGGAAACTTCCTTTACTCATTAGAACAGCAAGCAGCCTCTTTACAGTGACTATGTTGCCTCTGTTAGGAAACACAGACAAAACGCCACATTAATTTGTGACAGAACCTGGATTATTTCAGATTTCCTGCTGTTCTGTGATCTCGACACAGTGTTGAGGCAGCACTGAGGTACCAGACATGATGTTGCCTTTAAGCAACTGGCGCACTGCTTTCATCAAGAACTCTGCTTTTATCCTGTTATTGTTTTCTAATAAACAATATTACTAGAAAAAAAGCTTTTATTATAGTTATAAGTATGTTTTTCTACAAACATGCTCTACTTATTGCCCCTTACTTATGGAAATATTCTGAAATAAGTTAAAGTGTGCAGCACTTGGTGAAACACTCCCAGGTTGCTCCAGGTTAGCCTGTAGCTTTTTTACATTTCATACATCAGTGATCATTTATAACAGTACAACCTTGACAGTTGTCTGTGTCTTATTAGCACCATGTCTTACATTGTTTTCACTTACTTTTTTTTATTATAAAATTTACAAGTTTTGTAAAAACTTGCAGGGCAGCTGTGGCTACATTGTAATTTACCACCATGAGTGTGTGAATGTGTGTGTGAATGAATCATGTAAAGAGTCTTTAAGTGTCCTAAAAGTGCTATATAAGACCAATTTATTAGTATTAAATCACTGATAAACAAGAGTAATTTTGCATGTGTTTATTTGCACTGATTTGTAAATATTATTAGAATGTTAAATATTGATGTTAAAATATATTATGACAAGATATTAGTGGTTATACGGGAGGGTTGATGTTTTGATCTTTAGACCAGTATGGATTTTTTTACTCCATTTCCAGGGCATACCTTTGAGAGACCTGAGCAGATGAGCTGTCAAAACAAGAGTTGCTTCAAAGAAGATGAGCTGACCTGAATCTAAATGGAAATAAGTCCTTGTGAGAGGTTTCATGATCAAAATAAATAAATAAATAAATAAATAACAGGCCATTGACTGTGTTGCATGTGACATTTTTCGACTGAAAAATGAGACGTGCGTTAACTGGTAATGATAAAAAAAATGAAGTGAAGTGAAAAAGATAAAGTCATTCAAACCTAATCCCTGGTGACTTTTGATAGGAGGTACGTGATGTGGTAATGCAAGTTTCATTCTGAGTGTCACATTTCAGCACGTAAAGCTTTTCCATTTAAAAAGTACTTCAAATSAAAAGTCCTGTGCTCAGATTCAGAAATCATAAAGATGAGCGTTAAAAGAGATGCCACAATAAACACCTAAACATAGCTTTTTCTGTGTAATCTGCATCTTGATGCACCGAAGAAAGAAAAACGGGGCTTTTCTCTGTGATATTGTAGTAGATAAAACACAAACAGCAGAGATGTGTTAAAGCCAGCAGTCATTTGAAATAAGCAGTGGATGGAGTAAAAAAATTAAATAAATAAATCTCCTGAGTGGAATATTTGCTATCTTGACATGAACCTGCGTCTACCTTCCTGGAAGACTGCCAATTACGCTCCTCCAGAGAAGTGGTCCCAACCTGACTTCCATTATACAGGTAATAAAAATGCAAGAAACGATGGATCTGCRAGGAATTCTGGATCTTCTGGCAGTTTTCCAGTCTTTCCCATGAATTAAAGTTCAATTACCTACCTGACACAAACGAGTCACATAATAATCTCAATACCTTAATATTTCCATGTTGTAAAATATTTCTAATGCAATTTGTTGCTTGTTAGAATTCATCAGGCAGCTGATATAGACAGAAGATAAAGAGGTGATAGATGAGTGAGTTTGGAGGGTGAGACAGACAGAGTGATATAGGCTGTGCTGTCACAGCAGAGCATGGTACTTTACATGCACAGAGTTGCTGGTGGTGGATATTAATCATGCCAGATGGATGTCAAGGATCAGAAGCACTGCGCTTCTCTGACAAATATGATGGTGGAAGCAGAGGTGGCACAGAGACACAGTAATTAGCTTAAAGGCACATTTAACCTTTCAAAGAGAACCTTGCAAAATAAATGCTTTTTTTAGAGWTTGGAGAGGAGAAGAAGACAGACACTGATACAGGAATTAAAAAGTAGCTAAAGATATTAAAATAACCATCCCCGTTAATCATCTGGAGCTTGGAGTTTTTCATATGTCCCACAGAGACACTGTGGGGGGCTGTCTTTTTCATGGCAAGTGAACAATTACTTCTCAGAGCTATTTGTTTATGACAACCCTATTAATACTCATTAAATCTTACCTCCAAACAAATATAATCACAATGGAGGTGGTGCTGAAAATAGTGGGAGATATTTCAGTTATAATGTGATGTTCCCAGAAATTCAAAACCAGGAAGAAAAAGCGATATTTCTTTTTCAATGCTGCACAGGTACTTTATAGTGCATCATTAGTCTGTGCAACTATTGTTCACTGAAAGCAGAGGAATTGTCACATCTGCACTGAATGGTTTCTTCAATGTCAAAATGGGGCAAGAAAGCTGTAGCGCTTGGATCTCAATTGTGGGCTTTCTGTGAGGAATGTGCATGCTCTTCCTGTGCATGTGTGGGTTTTYTTCACTGYAATCTTGTTTCTTCCCAGATGGAGGTTTGAAGAAACTCTTTTTCAAAAAACAGAAAAAAAGGTTTGTTTTCTGATTCTATTATTCAAAAAGCCAACATCCAAATGTATGTTTTGGACTGAGGCACTCATGGCAACAGCTTCATAAAACAACTAAGAGATGGTTAATAGGAGACACACAATGCGGTGAATGGCATTTGAAAAAAAAAAACACTTTAATCAATCCAATCTCAAGTTTGACATTTACAGGAAACTAGCTTTGTCCTTGGGTTTTTTGTGTGTTCCAATAATTTGTCAGTCCAATACTGACAGCTGTTTCTTTTCTTTTCTTTTTGTTTTGTTACCAAAGCCCCTTGGCTAGCTTCATGAACTAAAATAACTKTTTTAGACACATAAAATGATTTACCTAGCTGTGGTTTGGGAAATAAATTTATAGCAAATCATTTACCCAGTGAAAGTTAGTGTATTAAACATCTGGMAAAATACAAGACTTAGTGTTAAATGTGGAACAACTGGTGGTGGACCCTCTACTCATGATGCCAAAAAACATTAATTTATTTTTTATGTGCCTTATTAGATTGGTCCTTTTAAGAAAGAAGATGGAGGAGTAAGGAAATAACAGAATTGATTCAAGAGCAGCAGGAGGGTTGAAAATAATGACATTTCATATAATGTCAYGATTAAAAATATCAGAAAATAATTCAGTGAAATATACTTTAAGTTCATTTGTGTTCAGAGTGGCAAAACATGTAGCTTCATACCTTTAGCACCTGAAATCTACTCTCTCTGATGGATAATGCATACTTCGCTATGGTTCACAAAAAACAATAAATCTTTGTGTGCCAGCAGAAAAAAATGTGTTTACACTAATACTTTTTTTCAGAGTGCATTGTTTGGTGCTTTGGCAGAATTCTAAACAGTGTAAAGAGACAGTGAGCCAGTGGCTGGAAACCCCATTATTTTCTGCTTGTGCGCCCATGACCTTGTGATTAATAAGATGGAATATTTTACCCGTTTCATCACATTTGATCTGAACTGTAAGCCAGCGGGAACTGGATTGTAATCTCAGCTGTTAGATAACATTGGTGAGAATAAGCAGCTCTCGTTTTTTGTGTGGGTTGGGCAGCTGCATTCAATTATGTGACGAGGAGTGTTTGAAAATTAAGCAGCTGGACGTCCTCGCACTTCTGGTGGCAGAGGAGAAGGTGGATACATTTTCAACATAAAAGGTGTCACACATGGGCAGATTTTAACTTTAATGTTCAGTTTGAGCAAAATAAAGTTTTAAAGAGGTGGCCATGTGGGGGTGGGGAGCTGTTAATTTTAGAGTGGCAAATAAAAAGCTGTATATCAGGAGTTTTATCAATCATGCTGTCGGCATACAGCTTGTCCAGTGACGTCACTCAGACTGTTTTTTTCTGACACAATAGCTGTTGGCTTTGGACTGCCTACAGCAGTGTTTCACAACCCTGGTCCTCAAGGCACACTGGCCTGCATGTTTTAGAAGTTTCTCTGCTTTAACACACCTGATTCTGATGATTGCAGTTCAACACGCTGTTAATCAGTTAACAATTAAAATCAGCGTTGTCGAAGCAGGGAACCATCTAGTGTGACTTGAGAACCAGAGTTGAAAAAAAAAAAAACACTGACCTACAGTAATGTTCATTTAGCATAATGTTTGTCATAGTTTTCTCGTGCTGATATCCCTCATCCATGCCTTCATCACCTCTAGGCTGGAGCTCATGTTGGTTTGGAACAATCATCTCTCCATCGTCTGCAGTTAGTCCAGAATGCTGCATGTCTTTTAGCAGGAACCAGAAGCCATACTTCTGTTTTAAGTGACCTACATTGCTGCCTGTACACTTTCACATATTCTTTCACTTACTTTTAAAGTTAAAAATGGCTTGGCACCCAGTTATTTATTGGATCATTTGCACTTTTACAACCCAAACAGATATAGGTATCCTTTAATCAGGGCTAAACTGATGCGTAGGGGGATCACTTTATTTATTTATTTATTAATGTGTGTGTGTGTGTGTGTGTGTGTGTGTGTGT